GGAGGGGAGGGGCATTGGGGGGGGTGGTGAGCACCAAACAAGGGTCAGCGACTACTCGCAGCTGCTGCTGGCGGTGTCAACAGCAGGGTGTCGGCGGTGCCTTTTTGTAGGGGGTGCACTGCCATGCTCAGAGGGTGCACGTGCACCCACGTGCACCCCCTACGTATCGCCCCTGCAGTGGAAGATGGGATTTTAAAACATGCTCCACATGGTGTTAACTCCACCTATATTGAAGTCAGTGGTAGGACTCAGTGAGTTCAGTGCTAGTGGAGGTAGGCCAGCAGGAAGGGCTGTTTTGAATCCTGTCTGGAGACTCAATTTAGCAGCTGTGAGCCGACCCCCTAGCACACAATACATGCATATTAAGTTGTATTTTAAAAACACTACCGATAACTGCAGGCACCTGTAGTCTTCTTTGAGTGCAGGCCAGTTTGGATTTGTAAGGAGGTGAGCATGTGCCCTAGACCAGATTTCTTGCCTAGCAATAACGACCCCCCAGGCTCAGAATTCACTATTGGAGATTGACTAAATCTCTGCCTGATCAGACTTTTCTGACTTAATTTCCTTTACAAGGGCTTCAAAAGAGCAGGTTGAAAACCCACCAGTTTTAGATCTGTCTGCTTTTTGAGAGACTTATATCCCTTAAGCACGGGGACAGCAGGTCCCTGTTTTGTTGGGAAACCCCACACTCAGCTCAGTGCTTTCTCATCATGCGAAAGTGAAGTTTCTGTCTCGAGGAGCAGCCTGAGGACAGCGGAAGGTATCTATGGCTGCTTTGTTGGCTTCCTTCCTGAACTTTGCTTTCGGCATCCCGAGAAAATCTCTGCTTCCCTCCAGGAGTTATTGTAGCAAAGAAAGAGATGTCGGGTAGATTTGATCAGTAGAGCAGCTCAGAAATAATTACTTCCCTAGCCAAGTTTGCTGTAGTGAATCAAACCTCCCTTTGAGGTCATCATTTTAATGTTATGTTAATGGCCTGGGGTGGGCTGTTTTTCCAGAGACTAAATCAGGTTAAATGTTTTCAATAGCCTTGTATTGTTTTAGTGGCCGTAATGAGGAGGTTCCTTATGATCAAAGAACATTATCCATCTCATTAGCTACTATATTTATAGCATTGCTGTTTAAATGGCTTGCCAGCTAAGCTACTAGCCATGTCTGTAGTGATGCTTACCAGCCACACTTTAAAAAGAAATTGAGTATGGACAAGTCCACCCTCCCTATTTGAGACTGCAGCACTCAGTGATATGCCAATAACATGCCTGTGATAATTGAGGATGGGATAGATGTACCTGTTTTAATCACAGAGATTCATAGATTGCTAGTGGCTGGAAGGGAATTTGCAAGATCATTGGGTCCAGTCCCCCTGCGCTAGGCAGGAATGGCTAAGTGATATGTCAAAAAGCCCCGTTAACCTTATTCAGAACTTGGTTTGCACCTTGCAAGTTCAGCTCTGTATTGTGAGAGTCCGTCCTTCCAGAGGAAGCTCAGAGAGGAGCCCAAAGAGGCAGACAGAGCCCTTTTAGGAAGACAAAATACTTTTCTTAGTGGCTTTTCTGCCTCCCCATCTCTGGCGCTCTGGTGTAGTGCCTGAAGACTGGAAGAAGGACAATGTGGTGCCTATCTTCAAGAAAGGGAGGAAAGTGGATCTGGCTAACTATAGGCCCATCAGCCTGACTTCTATCCTGGGGAAGATCTTAGAAAAGTTTATTAAAGAGGTGATCCTTAATGGACTGGCCGACGCCAACATCTTAAGGGATAGCCAGCACGGGTTTGTTGCGGGTAGGTCTTGCTTGACCAATCTCATTTCCTTCTACGACCAGGTGACCTATCACCTGGACAAGGGAGAAGAGATTGATGTCATATATCTTGACTTCAAAAAAGCCTTCGATCTGGTTTCCCATGATCACCTCTTGGAGAAACTGGCCAATTGTCGCCTTGTGTCCTCCATGATCCACTGGCTGGAAAATTGGCTCTGGGGTCGGACCCAGAGGGTAGTAATTGATGGAAGGCAATCGTCATGGTGTCCTGTGACCAGTGGGATCCCCCAAGGCTTTGTCCTTGGACCCATACTGTTCAACATCTTCATTAATGATGTGGACATTGGAGTCAGAAGCGGACTGGCCAAGTTCGCTGATGACACCAAACTTTGGGGAAAAGCATCCACACCAGAAGACAGGCAGGTGATCCAGGCTGACCTGGACAGGCTCAGCAAGTGGGTGGACGAGAATCTGATGGTGTTCAACGCTGATAAATGCAAGGTTCTCCACCTTGGGAAGAAAAAGACTCCTGGGGCTCATTCATCTCTGCCTGCAGATATCTCTGCAACTTGCTGACCAACTGTCCCATGCCCTTGTAGTCCTTATCGAAGATAACACTGTACTACTTGCAAGCAAGGGAAGTTGCAGAAAGTTGCAGCAAGGGAGGTTTAGGATGGATATTAGAGGAAAAAAACAAAACTTCCCATGAGGAGGGTAGTAAAGCACTGGAACAGGCTTTACTACCCAGGGATGCTATGGAGTTTCCATCCTTAGAGGATTTTTAAGACCCAGCTGGGCAAAGCGGTGGCAGGGCTGGTCCTGCTGTGAGCAGGGGGTTGGACTAGATGACCTCCTGAGGTCCCTTCCAGCCCTAATGCTCTGTGCTTCTAGAACTGTACTGCTACCAGTATATACACAAGCATATGGTTGTAGCAGGATCTAAAAATATTGATGCAATGATGAAGCTGTTATGTCTGTGTGATTCTGTAGTGATACAGTGGTAGCAAAACCTCTTCATCTGCAACCTTGCTTCATTTAGGGCAATTTCATTAACTCTTATTGCTGTAGGATTCTGCACCCAGAGCATCATGACAGGTATTGCTTCTCTGCTTCTAAAACAGGTAAAATATGCATTTGCCCATGCCTGCATTGTTGAATGAACTCAAGTTTGTCCTTCGCTTTTTTATAAACCTAAGAATTACGTGCACTCAAAAACCTGCATTAAAAGAGCGTTATTATGTTTACAGAGTCGAGCACTCTCCAGTTAGGAAAGGCAGCTGCACAATTCCAACATTATTTCAACTCCCCCCGTTGTACGTTTTGATAGTCTCCATTTCCATGGCCACTTATTACTTTTTCCAAGTGCCCTGTCTCTCACAATCCACAGGATGTAGTGCACTTTCTTAATGAGCAGTTCCTTAGAATTATATTATATCTGACTTTTTTTTCAGAGTATTTTTCGTTATACGGCACTTGATCCGGTCAAAGCACAGTTCCAACTGCCTTATTAATTCTCAGAAAATATAGTTGTTTGAAATGTAGCAATTTTCAGTGTGAACAGGACGTATTCTAGTGCAGTTTATCTGCCGGCTACAAAATTGCAAGCGATCATGATTGCTGTAGACTTCATTTGCAAAGACCTTAAATGGTGCTGCTCGCTTTGTTTTACTTGTTTTGTTACTGCAAGGTGCTACGTGGGGGTCGTATTTAAGACATTTCAGTGAGATCAAGTGATTGATTGAACCTGACTTTTTGTTTGCATCAACTGCAGCAGTTTGACAGCTGTAAGAGTTTGCGAACTAGAGCAATCCCTGGTGACGAGGATGTTTGCTTGAGACGTTGCAGAAAGATTCAAGCATGTTTGGCATCTCGGCTAATTATGGAAAGACTTAGGAGGAAGTTTTCATCGCTCTCGCGGCTACCTGCGTAGCAGAGCTTTTCCAACATGGTTTGAAAAGGCTGGTGCTGGAAGCTGAATTGAACTATGTCGCTGCCTTGGCAGATAGCCACCTCCCACTCTTTGCACAGATTAGCTTTTGTGGACCGTTAACAGGCCTTCTCACTAATTGTGTGAGCCACTTCCCAGAGAGATACCACTCAAGCTTCTTCTACTAAACCACTGTGTCTGGTTTAGATGAAAAATAGGTGTTGTAGGATGAAAGAAGCTAGTGGAGATAGTATAAGCGCAGGTCAAGATCCTGTTTATATGGTAGCCAGTGGGGGGCTTTCATGTGCTTGAAGTCTGTTTTAGACAATTTATCGAAACAATCGTGCCTGATGACAGTGTGTCAGAAGGTCTGTTGCTAAAGTTGTCATGCAGGTGATTATGAGATGAAGCCCTGAGGCTCTGGAGTGCCTTAACTTCCTTATTTAACCATCTAAATGTCCAATAATAGCTGAGAGCAGGGTGGACAGAACAGGAGGTATATAGACTGTTGATAGCAAGAAAAGTTCATAGAAGACGGAAGCATTGACTGCCTTATCTTGCAGTCGGGAGACTATTTCAGTCTTCACAATGAGCGGCATCCTGGAGGTTTATGCTTTATTTGTTGTCCACTGTCACAGCCAGCGGTGGGTTGAGGTCATTTGACATGCAGATATTATACCAATTTAATTAGGATGGTTTATAAATCAGCATATTTAAATTAGTAAAGTCCCCCGGAGTGAATTTAATTTAGAAAAAAAAGCCATTACAGTATGAGGAATTTTATATTGCTATAAATACATCTATGCTTGGGGTTACAGGTTGAAGTATGATGGGTTGCTTCAGAGCTGATATAATTAAAGTGGTGCGAAAATCATATAAGGAAACCTTCAAAGTACCTGCCCGCTAGTAAAATCTTTCCCAAGTTTTTATCTTTGCTGTTGATTTTTCTTTAACTGGATTAGTTAGGATCTTGACCTGTGCTTCTTCATGAATTAGTTGAATCTTACCCTATTCTGCCAAGAAGTAGTAATAAAAGTAGAAATAAAAATTGCATGTGGAATGTTGTTCTCAGCCTTGAAACACTTTGCAATTTGATTTCCTGTTCTTGTGCGTTTTCATTTGAAGTCACTTCTTAGATGAGCTCATGGTGGAATTTTATTCCTACTTCTCCCAGGGGGAAGTGGGCAACTCTCCAAAGTGTGGCATCTAGGACTTAAGATGGATATAAAACCACAAGTCGAATGCTTGACCTGTTGTTCAACTGTTTGAGTAACCATCTGATCACTGCCCTTGTTTTCCTCTTTCCTTTTGGACAGGATTTGACCTGGTAGATTTATTCAGTGTGAAGGAGATTTTTGGACTGAAAGACAATGGAATTCAGAGTTCCTATATCCGACTTGGCAGCTTCCCCATTGTGCAGAAAACAGAGTAAGTTTTTACACTTGTTTTCATGTGGGCCCCTCCATCCGTTGCTTGGTTCTTTTAAGACACCCCCTAACTCTTCTAGTGCCTGTAGAGCATGGGAAAAGCACACACTTTATGCCGACCTTGAGCTCAGTTGGAGTGATGCTTTCACAAACCACCTTAAAGCTGAGGGTCTAAACCCACTAATCCTTCCTACCTGCGATTGAGTTGGTAGTCTGCTGTGTACCTCATCTGATTTAAGGAGCTCTATAAAAAAAGAAAATCCCAAAAGGAGTTCTGGGTGTAGGGCATTGCCTCTAAAATGGGTGTTTGTCGACTCTCTCCCCAAGGTACACACTTGCTAACGGCACGAGATTGACTCCCAGTGGATGTAGTTATCAGGCAGCTAATTTAGTTTCCTGAAAGAATGAGCAGCAGTTAAGCTGCTGTCAGTGTGGATTCCAGTCTTACAGCCTTTTATAACATGAGGCTGCCAGCTCTGTCACAGCCCATCAAGATGGTTTCTCTTCAGGTTGTCATATAAGTTCTGCCAGCATTAGCCTTGAGAAGAGTGAGAGCATAATTTTATTGAGTGACTGTGGAGCAATAGATTGAATTGTCATCATTAACATTTTTGCACTAAATTTCACTGTGATGGTTTGAGATTAATATTAAAAAAATCAATATTAATTCTCATCCTTCTTGTGGACAGGAGGAGTTATTTTCGTGATCTCTCTTGAGTCCTTTTTGGCTCATTGAGTATTTGAGATGCTCTTGTGATCATTTCTCTGATTTCCTGGTATCTTGCATCCTAGAATCATTTTCCCCACCATTACCAACCAAACGCGCGCACACACACACAAATGCAAAAATATTATATTCTATTATATACTAAAAAAGAGTTTGTTTTAAAAACCATGTATATCAAGCCCCAGGTATAATAAATTCAGGGATAGGGAAATAATACAACAGACCGAAGACTCTTTGGTGAGTATACATAGTATGGATATATTTTTTCCTTTGTGGTACAGCAATAAATGGATGATGTGTAGCTCTCAATCATTCCTACCAGTTGTAGCTTGTGAGTTGTTTCATCGCTGGATAATAGTTATTACAAGGGCACCTTCATAGTGGGGAGAATGACATTGTGGCAGGGCACCTTTGGTGCCTGCCCCATTAAGGGCTGAGAGCAGGCAGCAGGGCAGCTGGCAGGTGTAGGACAGCCCCAATGAGGTGGTCACATGACCACAGGAACACCAAGTGATTGGAGGAGAGGACTGACTGGCCTTCATCTTAGCTCAGGTCCCCAGGGCTGAACCATCAGTCTGCTGCTGGCAGCCAGAACACCACTGAGCTGCTGCTTGGAACATCTTGGAGGTAAGGACAGGAGCTGCAAGGGTGGCAGGAGGCTCCTGGTCCTGGGGCATGACCAAAACCTACACCCTGCTGGGGAAGGATGGACCAGTGGGACTACCTATGGCAGGGTAGTTCCCCAGAAATGCCAGCCCAGTTGCCTCCCCAATGAAAGGTGGGTAGAGGAGACTTATAACACCAGCTCCCACTACCCAATGCATAATTTAGAGCAGGCCAGGAAGTGGGGCCAGGCATGTCTACGGACACCTGAGCCCATGGGGTGTAAGACCCTATGCCCCAGTAAGGGTGCATAGAGCTGGGCTCAGTGACGGGACAGAAAGGGGCCCTGGTGAGGGGACAGAAGTGTGTGTAGTGGCCTGCACAGAACAGGGTGCACAGTGATGCCTGAAGGGCTGTGTGTGAGTCTGCACAGGCAGGCCTGAAGGGCTGCATCAGGGGGCATGTAGAGTAGGGTTGGTCATGCAGCCTGAAGGGCTACACATGGGCCAACTCCCACAGGAATGACAACATGAGCAAGTTGCCCAGAGAGGGTCTAGTGGCTGAGTTCAGCTCAGTGTGAGGCATAAGGCTGGTGGCTGCAGGGCCTATGTGAAGGGCTGCATGTGGGCCAGCTAGAGTGTGACTAGGAAAGCCTGAAGGGCCGTGTAGAGTAGGGCCCAAGGGGGGACCCAAGAGGGCAGTACAGATCCATGGCAGGTTGAGAGTGGCCTGAGGCCCTGTGAGAAGGGGCAGAGTGCAAGAGTAGTATGCTAAAGGCCCAGCAAGGGGCAGAGGTTAGCCCAGATTTGAATTGGAGCTGTTATCAATTTGTAATGCCATCTGCAGGGCATGGGGCACAGTGCAGGGTAGGTCAGCACCATATATAACACCCCAGGCATGCAGACTATCCCAGACAGGTGGGTAGGCCAATGTTAAGATCAGATCCTGAGAGGCTCCCCTGTTACAGAAATAGACTGAGGTTTGCCTTGTGCTGAAGAGACTCTAATTTATTCAGTTTTGACCCTTTCCATTTTGGAGGAATGTGCTCAGGAAGTTAATTGCCAAACTAACATTTCCTAGGTTCCCTAGATGAATTTCCTTTTTCCCAATCTTGGTACCCCAGGATAAGGGTTGAGCTACTGTTTCAGACATTAAACACAAAACCAAAGATGAAGAAGGTGTGCACAGTGGGTATGCAGATACATAGTGGAGAGATGAATGTAGGCCAGAGGCAGGCAATTATTTGGGCTGGAGGGCCACTTACCAAGTTATGGCAAGCTGCTGAAGGCCTCAAGGGAAGTCCCGCCCCTTGACAGGTACCCTATCCCCTGGTTGCCATCTTGGGACTGTCAGTCTCATCCCCTAACCCTTGCTACTAGAAGTCCCTCCCTTTGCACCTTGGAAGTACTCCTTTCAGCAAGGGGATTTGCCATCTCAGAACCAGAAACATACCAAATTACATTCTAAAAATCAAACATTTACTACAATATTCATTAATTTGATTAAAAATATATATATTTTGTCCTAATTTACATGCGTTTGTGTAGTGTACACAAAAGTGATTGTATAATAGCTTAAAATGAAGTCTTACTCTTGTATATTTTGGGGATTGTGGGGGGTATGGGTGGGTGTGTATAGGTTTGTGGGGGGCTGTGGTTATGTGGTGTCTGGGGGAGGGTGTGTGGCGGGGTTTGTGTGGTTGGATAGGCATGGGGGGTTTTGATGTGTGTGCATGTGGAGTGAGGGATCATGTGGGTGTGTATGTGGGGTGTGGGTGGGTATGCTGTTTGTGGGGGGCTGTGAGTGTATGTAGGGGATGGTGGCTGGAAGGATTGTGGCATGTGTAGAGGGGGAGGGTGTGCCCACAGCCCCCACCAGCGCTTCTCCAAATCCAATCTCTGTGCTCCTGCCACTCCTGGCCCTGGTGTACCAGTGCAGGCCCTGTGCTCCCCCAGCTCTGGCACCACGTCCCAGCTGAGACCACAGGATGCAGCAGGAGCCAGACTGACTTGGCCAGCACCACATGGAGCCAGCTGAGAATTGTGGCAGCCAGGCTGGCTCCTTCTGAGTCCTGCAGTCCCAGGACTGCCGCTGGGAATCACATGGTGCTGGACCTGTGGGGCTGGGGGAGGGGGGAGGGGAGGGACTGGAGAGGAGGAGCTGTACCAGAAGCACAGCGACAGCTGGGCAGGAGCATGGGGCTCGTGCCAGTGCCCCAGGGCCAGCAGCAGTCGTGGCTCAGAGTGGGGCGGGAAGAGCATGGGGCCTGGACTGGTAGGGGTTTTACAGAGCTGGGCTTGGCTGCACCAGCAGGGAAAGCAGAGAGCTGGCCCAGCTCCACAGAGCCCCTGCCAGCCTGCACCCTGTGCTTCTGCCACCCTGCTCTGGGTCTCTGCTGGTACTGGCCCCAGGGCACTGGCATGGGCCCCATGGTCCTTCCCAGCTGTCACTGCAGTCCCATGTGCCCACTCACTGTCACTCCACCCCCACCTGCTGCCATCATTTCCCCACTTTCCTGGCCACTGCTACTCCTCTCCACCCTCCTGCCCACCTGCTGGCTGCTCCACCATGGTTCCCATTTGCAGTGCCGGGACTGCAGGAGTTGGCAGAAGCCGACCTGGCCCCGAGGACTGGGGTGATCGCCCACAGTCCTCCCCTGCCTCTTCTCTCTTCTTATCTGAATTTCCAGTTGGGGGTTGAGGGTGGGGTGGGACCAGGCAGGGGCGGAGCCAGGGAGGCCTTGCTGCTGTCCTGCCACCGCCTCCCTCTGGGTCCTACTCCCCTATGTCCCTTGTCATCTTTGACAGGCAGCCAGGGTCAGATAAATATTAATTTTCTAAATTTTTTAGGGGCCCCACAAGCCATACAGAATGACCTGGTCAGCAGAACCTGGCCCATGGGCTGTAATTTGCCCACCCTGATGTAGACTCTACATAGGCCTGTGTGACATGAACCCTGGGTATGTTGCTGTGAAACTTCGTGATTTTCAAAGGGCCTATGGCTAAGTGGCAATAGCAGGCCTGAAGCCTGTCCTTGAGTGACATACCATAATAATAGTGTTTGCTGATGCCGTGGCTGGCTTGGTCAGTAAAACAGGAAAAAAACTGTCCATCTGCCCAACTGGACACAATAAGAACAAGGTCTTGTTAGACAGGGCTAGAACAGCATTTTACATGCTGCCTCAGCATGCTGGAGCAAATAGGAGTGGGGCAAGGCTGCAGCAGTGGATCAAACTCAGGCTCTGTCCAAGGTAAGTAGGAATGGGAGGTGTGGGGACTGTGCGTATGCAGGTGGGAGGACTGCTCGGGAAGGGTGGGTCTCCTGCATGGTGCATAACTCCCCCACAGCAGCAGCAGCAGCAGCAGCAGCAGCAGCAGTGGCTGTTGTGGGGCTCATGCTTGCTCCTGACAGAGACTTCCGGCCATGCAGTGCTGCCTCAGACCCAGCAGCTGCACATAGCAGGGCCGTCCACACTGCCCCAGTCCCAGTAAGGGGTTTCCAGGGGCCAGAACAAAAAAACCCACAGAAAAAATAAAACAAAGCAGTGCACGCACGAGGAGCATGCACCACTCAGAAGTGGAGCTGGGCTGCTCAGAGCTGCACTGTGGCTGCCAGCCAGGCTCTATGTGGCAGAATCACCACTGCTGCAGCTCTGGGAGGCCCCCAGGACC